GATAATGATCGTCGATCCAATACCGGCCGAATGACTAAACGAGATGCTGTCAATCTCGGGATATCAAAATGATCACTAATACGCAGCGAATCTCCGCGAAAGTTCCCTAGAGATGATAACATAAAGACGAGAAATTGCTCTTCTCTTCTCTCGACCACCATGACAGAACCGATTCGCCTGGGTGTTATCGGCCTATCCACCAAAGGATGGGCGTCCACGAATCTTGTACCTCCCCTTCTGGCTCCGCCTCTCTCGTCACATTACAAGCTTCTTGCCGTATCCACGACGAACCCAACGTCTGCTGCGACAAGTGCAGCGAAATATTCAACCACGGAAACCACGGTGAAGGGGTATCATACGCCTGAGTCCATCACTGCATGATCCCAGCCTGGATATGATCACTGTGTCAGTGAAGACACCTAATCATGTAGAGAATGCCACAAAGGCCATTGAAGCTGGGAAGGATCTCTTCATTGAGTGGCCGGCTGGGAGAGGATTGAAGGAGACGAAGCTCCTCGCTGACCTAGCAAAGGAGAAGGGGATCCGGACGATCGTTGGACTTCAAGCCAGACAGAGCCCATTGTTTCGCAAGGTGAAGACACTGGTTGAGGAAGGGGAGATTGGAGACATTTTGTCGACGAGTATGGTGTGTAAACCTTTGTAATATCACGTAGCGATTTCCTCATTGATGGCAGACATCACGAATATCCGGTCCGCATGCGCCATGGGGACCAGCAGTGTTAAAGGAGGTGAATACTTGTTGAAGAAGGATAACGGCGCAACACTTCTCGATATCCCTGGAGGCCATTTTCTCGAGGCATTCACGTATATTCTTGGACCAATTAGTACCGTATCTGCGACCGCAGTCGTTCAGCACGCCTCATCCCAAGTAGTCAATCTTGATGGCACGCCCACCGGTGATGTGTCCCTGTTGACGGACCATCACAGGTAGCCGTATCAGGGACGCTAAAGAGCGGTGCGGTAATGAGCTTGCACTGGCGCGCAGGCTTCCAGACCCCTGCCAATGTGAAGGCTGGCGACTCCGCTTGTATGGGGTTATTGACGGATCTAAAGGTTAGTATAAGAATCGAAAGCGAGCATCCCTGGGCAGCCCTCGTGGAGATGTATGAGCCCAACGCCAGCTTTGGGTGAACGGCGAGGAGGTGAAGGTCGAAGAAGATGGTATTAAGACAATGAGGGTAGAGCCTGGAGGTAATTTTTGAAGGGCGAAGGCGAGGGAGACTATCCCAACTTGCAACATGCGGTTAGATCAAGAGTATAATCGACGCCATTTGGAGGAGTGCTGAGGGAGACGTAGGGTTAGTCTGTAATTGTTGGAAGAGCATACAGCGCACCGGTGTATAATATATGCAGACAAAGTCAAATTCCGTGCTCTTTTGTTCATATATGCTGAAGATAGATTTTATTGTAACGGCTTTGGTACAAGTCAGGGATATACACACCTTGAAAATGGTCGTTCCCCTAACGTCGACTTTATCTTCCTCCTTCTTAGTAGGTCAATTCTTCTTTTCGCAAATCTTCTGGAGATTTTTCTCGTTAATCTGGAGAGGTATTGAGTGATTTCAATGTAGATATAACGTACTGGAGCAGAGAGCTTCTATGGCATTCCCGGCAGATCAAGAAAATGCCACAAACATTGGAGCAAAATCTCTGCAGAAAAAGCCGATAAGCTTCTATGTTATAGATGCATCCAAGGAAGCAAATCGTGACGTACCCGCTACCCACCCTAGATTTGCGTCATTCAGATGAAGAAGCACCGACGAAGCGTCTGAAGGATGGCCAGTGATTATTTCGGCAACGGCCAATGGAGAACAAGTTCTGGAAATCGACGCGTCGTAGCTTCTCATTGTGGCGAAGATGAGGATAAAAGAGCCAAAAGAGCAAATGCAAGAGAAGAATTTGGACGAACCAGTGAGACGACAGTCATGGAACTTGGAAGGAGGAAGAGATAGCGCGTCCCAAAAGGGCAGCTGGAACTTGCCGGCTCGGACCGGTCTACCGTACTCGCCTCTTGCCCTCAACATCCACTAACAGTGAAAACAACGTCGCGATTTCGCTTGGAACATATATCCAGGTCGGCGAAACCACTAGCTTTCATTGGTTCCATACTTCCATGTCACTGTCAGAGTAGTTCGACTGCAACAGCGACGACAACATATTCTGACCTTGTTCAACTGGTAACCTGGCGGCGTTGTTGAACCAGGCGTATCCTCAACAACCGGGCTCTCATGATCTGGATGTCGGAGCCGCGAATACAATCTTTTCCCCAATGGCAAGAGTATAGTCCATGGACATTGGGTCGATACACGTCACGGGACACGTTTGATGATTAGTTCGAAAAGGCAGATGCACAATCATTCCCAGTGAAAAGTCGGTCGAGCCACACTGAGCCAAATCAAGCCCAGGGAAATGGTCGATGGGGCTCCATTCCGCTCGTTGTGGCTTCGAAATGTGAACCATTTTCCAGCTCAAATCGAGCCATTTCGAGCTCAGTGTGTCGGTGTCATAGGGTTCCATTAGGCTTCGTGGGCTCGATCTTATTGCTATTAATATGCATAGAATCAGATTGCTACTAGTACGTACTACGCTAAGTAGCAGCATCCTTCCCATTCCGTCCACGGCTGGCTCTGTCCCGCTCGGATACCTCAACCGTGTTTCCCGACGTCAAGATAGATGTACCGAAATAGATAGCCCTAGAAAATGTTATATCAGTACACAATAACGGGAAAGACGATTCCAGGACTACTCACGAAATAGAAGCCAGCTGGAACGATGGCAAACACGACCTGTATAAGATTAGATTAGTGAGCCCAGGAATACACATATATAGAACAGAACGTACCATCACCACACCCGAAGCTATGCCTAGACGGCGTATGGAGCAACTGTACACATTCTAAATATCAAAAAAAAAACATTCAAGAGCGCAATGAGACGTACCTCAGAGATCCAGATATCTTTCTGCTCAAACGGGATTCCCAAAGACGTATTGCTGCTGAAGGTGTCCAAACATGGCGCATATATCCACCTTACGCGGCATTTTCAATCTGTAGCCTCATGTCTGCAAGTCTTCGCATCAGCTTGCCGGTAAAAGACCAACAGTAGGAGGCTACGAGAGCAAGTACGAACCCATGTCCTGCGATAATACAGGATCTGGGTGTAGGGCGACAACAAGGACAGCGAATAGGCCAGAACGCGACGTGGATGGTGGTGGTGGAAGGGGAAGAAGCGTTAATCGCGTCACTGGATGACATCCACGTGGTCGGAACCGTTGACTTGAAGTTGTGCCAATTTGCGCTCGCAAAATTCGGCGCATTTTAGTTAACCGTTAGGTTCAGAGAGATTCTGCCCTGGTATTCTTGGATGTGCTGATGGAAAGAGGAGAAGGTTTATAGTCCGAAGCTTTCTTGTATGACGCCGCTTGATCCGGCTCGACCACGCTACATGATAATCTTTGCAGCTTGATTTGGCTCAAACCGGCTCGACGGAATTTTCACTGGGAATCATTAACAGGTCGTATATGTGGAGATGGTCGAATCAACTGCACGACAGGTTCTTGCTAATTTTTGCCGTTATATGCCTAGAAATTTGGCTTCGACCGCCTCGGACGACAGGTATCTTTGTTCGCCAAACAAAAGGTGGAGACGCGAGACGGGCACGTAAATAGGGAGACTGCCAGAGATGAACGGTTCGTTTTGTTTCTCTTTATGCAAAATACGGTCCTGAAGATGTTCTGCTTTCAAGTTCGAAAATGGACGATTCTCCTCACTGTTTCCCGAGCAATCGCACTTGATGTTTCACTGCCATGATGTATCCTCTTCCAGCGTTGACGATATGTAGAAGGTGTTTTCTCTTCTCAAAGTGCTACTCTCGCAGACGTGACACTTTACTTACAAAATGGGTTCTCGAACGCCAAGAGAGTCAGCGGGAACGAGTTTGGTCTTCTCAGGCCAAGGTGCGTACGAATGAACCATAGTTTTTACCTTATACTAATGTGGCATGCAGTCTACTGACCCCACGGATTCTTAATGGCAAGTATACCCTTTCCCGGTGGTGCTCGGTCCACCTGGATACAAAGACTTGGTGCGCTGAATACCATTCTCTAAATTGGCCAGATTGCTGAAGTATGTGAAGGGCCCGTAACTATCCTTGAATGAGGATGTACCATTCGCAGGGGACCAACCACCCTTTCCCCTCCAGAATTTAGAACTGTTCCTTCTCATCCATTCTCTCGGTCGCTTTCAATCTAGTCCCTCCTACGCAAATTCTGGAAAACGCTCAGATGAGCCAAGGTACTTGTTGCTGTTTTTCCTGAGACAATACCTAACGGCAATTTGGTCGTAGTGCTAGGTTTATCGCAGGACGCGCATGCTGGTGATGATTACCCTGGCGCTATATAAGGGATACAACGCGCTCTACACACCCTTACCTTCGCCGAGATCATCAGCCATGAAAGTTGTCGATGGGGAACTCGTTCTTAGGTAATCCATTTTGCTTCATCATGGCTCTCGGTTTGACCTATAATACTTAGACTGAGATGCGTCGTCACCTTTGCATCATCTGCACAGAAGCTCCATCGTCATCGACAGTGCAGTGTCCTGCCGCAGAATCAACACGTCGAGAAGGACAGAAAGCTCGTGCTCAATGACTTTATCATTATAAATCTGGAGGTTCGTACCCTGTCCTCCTTAAGAATTTTAGCTAATAAGACGTGTCTTTAGTGTAGAATAAAGGCAGTGGATCTGCTTTCGTTACACCATGGATAGTTCCAGTTGTTTCTGGGTACGTCATGCGCCTTCAACGATGTTCACGGTCGAATTCTTTTTTACGTCTCTTTCAGTGCTTTCCCAAAGGGCATCAGCATTGCCCTTGCTCTGAATAGCATGCTACGATTCGTCCTTCAAGGATACCTCTCAAGCCCCTCGTTCGGCTTCCTGTCATTCCTTGCCTTCGTCTCCTTGCTGTCCGCCCAGCATTTGTCACTTCATTCGTTCGCAGAAAAGCAGCCATAGCCTAGTCACCCTGCAACCTTACGATGCTTTTCCAACTGCCACTGACACAATCGGCATCGAATCGGTGCCTGTATGCTAATGCAAGTATGAATCTTCGTTCCGCTGGAGACTTGTATTGGGGATGGTCTGTCAATAGGAACGTCACGACGGATGTAGTCGCAGATAGCGTGTCCAGAGATCGAGGAATACTCGCAGACGTGAAAAGGTGGTGGCGAACTCAAATGTATTGCCTTTTCTCATCTTACTTTGAAGTGCAGACTCCGCTGGTTCGTGACCAAATGGTGTCACCTGCAAATTCATAGCGAACAGTTTGATACTCCTGGATATTCAGTGAACTCTTCCGTCATAAGGCCAAAGACATTTCCCAGGATCTCTCGTCTTTTGCATCCGTGTTATCGTTACATTCAACCTGTCCGAGAATACGACGGCGAGGTGACCAGGATGCAAAAGTTTGAATAACTTGGCGGCTTTTGAAGGCTCGAGTACGAGCTTTGCGTACAAGTTTCTCCCAGCGTTCATCATTGAGAACTTCGATTTTCCACTCCGCACTCCTGTTCGTGACATCCGAGATCAAGGGAAACTTGAGATGAGCTGGTCCAAAAGTCGGTACTCGGAAACTTGCCTATAGCCAGTTGCGACAAGTCTGACCGGTGTATGGTCTCAAATGTGGGTTCGCTGTTGTGCCGACGTCGTCAAGCTGATTATTTACTGTCTGGAGTTGGCAGTGGTCGTGTGATACACAGAAGAAGGGCTAGTCGCAGTCGGTGACCACGGAAATGAAGAGATGAGAGGACCCGTGCTCCCATTCAACTAAATTGCTCAAATCAAGGACGGGGAACTGGCAAACGTGTGTACTCCAATACATTCACAATGATGTAATACTTAATAAACTTCCGTAGTTCTCGTCATAAACTTTCACGAAGATTGGAAAGAGGTCTGTGTAGAGGTGCTCCTGCTGACTACCTTGATTTCGGTATTGCCTTGTGGCTCCTGCTTCCTTGAATGACTAGGTACGTGTACTATCTCTTGGTTTAGGATTCACCTGTTTTGACCATCAATTATAAAGGTCTCCGCCAACTATCCTCCGCTTGACAGCCGAGAATCGAGGAAGTTGTTGTGTTAAAGAACGAAAGTTTCGACATGGGTTTCAATTCATCGAACGAAATGACATCAATTATTAGCATGTTGCCTTAGGCGTCTCCACTGCCGGAGAGTCAGTTGAACAACGCCACCACTGCTCGAAGTGCCCATTACTCTCGCTCATCAAAATTTCCGAGTCAAGACTACTTGGCATCGCAGTCATATAACCACTTTACGAGCGCTACCAGAGTTTTCAGGTGTGAGTATATGACATCCTCAAGACTGGATTCAAAGTCAGCCTGCATGACAAAAAGGCTGAGTTACGGTGAGCATTTCGATCAAGATGCGAACGCGTTCTCTGACGGAGGAAAGTACGTATCGAGGCTCTGGACTCCCAAATGGCGCAAGCAAAGACAAGATGATTCTGACTGTATGCGAACCCATCTGGTGTGAGCACTGAACATTCAATGGACGTCAGATGGGCGAGCATGTGCCCTATGTGTTTGTTATCTGTGGTAATAACGACAGCTTCCATTCATCCTGTACTTTGGACAAGATATCGGGAAAGTACCGAGAAGGGTACCCTCCAACGTATAAAAACGTCATGCATTTCCTCAGTCAATATCACCTCGACCCGATATCATCAACCCTACTACGATATCTCGCACATCTACATATCATGGCCGGAGTCAAAACCTCTTGGGAAGACCTGTCGAACCTCGGCTGGTACAAGCAGCAGGTTTATAACACGCTCAATGCTCAGCGCGGAAACACCATGAAAGGGCTAGGCGACATGGCTCTCAACGAGGGTTTCGCCGAAGACTGGGGGTATGTAGACAAGGTCTCTTTTCCCCTTAGAAGCTAACTCGCCCGCCCTATAGCTGGTACTGCTACAATGTGACCAAAGGCGACGCGTACGAGGTCGGTAACACTGTCAACAACGCCTCAAAGACGGCAACTGTCTGGTATTACGACAATCGCAAAAATTCGCAGCCTTTCAATACGACCTGGACCGAAACTTGGTCTACAACCGAGACGGCATCTCTCAGTGTCACTCGTAGCTGTCAGTTTTCTGCGGATACCTTGAATTTGACTCTCAGCTGATAATTTTTTTCTATCTTCAGCATCCATTAGTCTCCAGTGGTCGGTCACTATCGGGTCTGTTGCTAGTTCCGATTTTACCATCACCAGTTCCAACGAGACTGCTTCGACCCAATCGAAAGAGTCAACGCACACCTTGGAAAATGTGTGGGAAATCACGTACGTCCTCACACAATCTTGTCTTTCACAGACGTAATTGATATGTATGCAGCGTCGGTCCGGGCGAGACCCTCTCGATCCTGAGAACTCAGTTAACCACCAACGGAAAATCGGCTTACAACTTGGTTCGTGTCATTGTTACTTCAGAATCGCTCTATTTCTGAAATTATACCCTCAGAGGTATGGTCTCAGCGACGGGGGACTTATTGCTAGTGAGTAGCATCGATTCACGCTCCGCCCATCCTACTCACATGCTCCGGCCATTAGCCAAGGGTGACAGGTCTGTAATTACCACAGGTTATTAGAGTCCCTTTCAAGCTAATGCGCTTCATCAGATACAACGACCACTACTATTGGGTAAGCCTTTTCCCGTTTCTGAGAGTTCATTACGCTTAAGCTGTCATACATAGGGATTCTCGGCAAACTATTATCTCAACTCCCCGGGAGGCACCATGGTCTTCGATGGGCTGAGCCAGAGCAACAGTTTCTCTCACGAGATCGTCCGTAATGACGGCTCTCAGAGAGCTTCAAGCTCTGTTATCAAGCTTGCCAAGCCCACCACCGTCACCGAGATTGATAATGGGAAGAGGACTGTGCTCCAGTATGCCTTCCCCGCTAAGAACGACGATACTCCCCCAGAGGGCCACCAGTAATTGCGCCACCAGCAACTTGAACCGATTTTTTTTTCCTTCTTCGTATTGAAAAAATATAAAACCCTCGAAAAAAATAGGTTTCTGATTCCAGTAGGCCTTGTCAATGATGCGATGCTCAGAGCCGGGGTATGTTGGAACTGGGTAGCTTTAGGCCGATTTGTACAATTATATACGAGTTGATCATCGAAATGTCATATTATGTGTGCTTAGTGTTTTGGGCTGCATTTGAAGAAGGCCCCTTCTTTGAGGTAACGAGATACTTAGCCATTGTGATAGTGAAGTAAGGTAGATGCGCACCAAACTAGCAGGAC